TCACCCAAGCTGGCTGCATGTGGAGGAGGCGGAAGAAGAGATTGGTTTTATACCCCGCCCTTCAGTACCCAAGGGAGTCTCAGAGCGGCTTACAAACTCCTTTCCCTTCCCCTCCCCACAAGAGACACCCTGGGAGGTCGGTGGGGCTGAGAGAGCTCTTGACAGAAACTGCTCTTTTTCAAGGACAGCTCTGGCAGAACTACGGCTTGCCCAAGGTCAGCCAGCAGCTGCAAGTGGGGGAGTGGGGGAATCAAACCCGGTCCTCCCAGATTAGAGTCCACACGCTTTAACCCCTACACCAAACTGGCTTGTGACCAAGCCAGGATCCCCCCCCCCCGCCAGCAGATGGGTAAGACCTAGCAACACTGGGGAATGGTGGGGTTTGTGGAGAGGAGGGACCTCGGGACGATCTAATGCCCCATAGAGTCTACCCATCGAAGTAGCCATTTTCTCCAGGGGAACCTCCCCCCATTCTCCAGGTATTTCCCAACCCAGAACTGGCAACTCTGTTCAGAGGTCACAGCAAAGGGCCGGACCTCCTCCAGTTTGGCTGGATGGAGATCGGGCAAAGATGCTCCCATTTCCACAATCTCACCCCCGAGTGGGGAGCCCCCTCGACTCACCTTCCATCAAGGTGTGGTGGATGCTCCAGTAGACGCTAAGGCACTGCTTCTCCTTCTTCATCCCTCTTTTGCACTTGCAGCCGTAGAGCTGGCTGGAGAGGAGCGCCGTCACCGTGTTCCGGCACTGGCTCTTGGCGTCCGGCCCCAGCTTGTTGGCACCGTTGCCGGCGATGCACTGCCGGAGGGTCCGGAATTTGGAGCTGCAGCTGGGATCGTTGGTGCAGGACTCCCCCGCCTGCAGGCAGTCCCGGGCTGAGCTCACCACATCCACCATGCTTTCTGGGGAAGAACGAGAGGAGGGGAGAGGCCGGTGAGAAATGGCCTCCACGCATCTTCAAGGTACATTAAGAACATAAGAAGGTGGATCAGACCAATGGTCTGTCTAGACCAGCATTCTGTCTCACACAGGGGCCGACCAGTTCCTCTGGAGGGCCAAGAACAGGGCAGAGAGGCCGAGGCCTCCCCCTGATCAGAACCTCAGAAGAGCCCTGCTGGGTCAGACCAGGGAGGGTCCATCTAGTCCAGCCTCCTGCCTCACACAGTGGCCAACCAGTTCCTCTGGAGGGCCAAGAACAGGGCAGAGAGGCCGAGGCCTCCCCCTGATCAGAACCTCAGAAGAGCCCTGCTGGGTCAGACCAGGGAGGGTCCATCTAGTCCAGCCTCCTGCCTCACACAGTGGCCAACCAGTTCCTCTGGAGGGCCAAGAACAGGGCAGAGAGGCCGAGGCCTCCCCCTGATCAGAACCTCAGAAGAGCCCTGCTGGGTCAGACCAGGGAGGGTCCATCTAGTCCAGCCTCCTGCCTCACACAGTGGCCAACCAGTTCCTCTGGAGGGCCAAGAACAGGGCAGAGAGGCCGAGGCCTCCCCCTGATCAGAACCTCAGAAGAGCCCTGCTGGGTCAGACCAGGGAGGGTCCATCTAGTCCAGCCTCCTGCCTCACACAGTGGCCAACCAGTTCCTCTGGAGGGCCAAGAACAGGGCAGAGAGGCCGAGGCCTCCCCCTGATCAGAACCTCAGAAGAGCCCTGCTGGGTCAGACCAGGGAGGGTCCATCTAGTCCAGCCTCCTGCCTCACACAGTGGCCAACCAGTTCCTCTGGAGGGCCAAGAACAGGGCAGAGAGGCCGAGGCCTCCCCCTGATCAGAACCTCAGAAGAGCCCTGCTGGGTCAGACCAGGGAGGGTCCATCTAGTCCAGCCTCCTGCCTCACACAGTGGCCAACCAGTTCCTCTGGAGGGCCAAGAACAGGGCAGAGAGGCCGAGGCCTCCCCCTGATCAGAACCTCAGAAGAGCCCTGCTGGGTCAGACCAGGGAGGGTCCATCTAGTCCAGCCTCCTGCCTCACACAGTGGCCAACCAGTTCCTCTGGAGGGCCAAGAACAGGGCAGAGAGGCCGAGGCCTCCCCCTGATCAGAACCTCAGAAGAGCCCTGCTGGGTCAGACCAGGGAGGGTCCATCTAGTCCAGCCTCCTGCCTCACACAGTGGCCAACCAGTTCCTCTGGAGGGCCAAGAACAGGGCAGAGAGGCCGAGGCCTGCCCCTGATGTCGCCTCCTGGCTCTGGGATTCTCTTTCGTCACCATAGCTAGTAGCCGCTGATAAACCTGTCCTCCATGAAAACAGCAGTTAAAGTTGGGGGGGGGGGGTCTAGCTAGAAACTGGGGCAAAGGAAGAGGCCCTTACAAGGCAGAGTTTTTGAGGGTGTGTGTGTGAAGTGCCTTCAAGCCGTAGCCAATTGATGGCAACCCCTGTAGGGCTGGAGCGATCAGACATGGGAAAGTCTGTCCATGACCTGTCACAACCCGTTTACGACGGGGTTTTCCCCGGTGTCTCTTAACTCAGCTTCTGCGGTGGAGCAGAACGGGTTGCCGATCGCTGCGGGGGGCTTCCCAGATGTTATTGTCTGATCGTACTCTTTAAATCCGCCCGGCATTCGCACCTATGTCGGGTCTAATAGTGCGTATGATTGCAGCCTTAGCTTCTGAGATCTTAGATCGGTCTTGCCTTGGGTGGTGGTGGAAAGGGTGACCCCGTCGGGCGTTGTGTCGAACTCATTTGTGATGAGGGCCAGATCTGACATAAACGGGATCTTGTTGGGCCGGGCCACGTGTGTCATAAAATGTAATGCCAGGCAGCGGAGATAATAAACTTTATAAAGGACACAAACACAAAGATTTTTTTTTTAACTTAAAATAAAAACATGCTTAAAACATTAGCTCTGTAAGCTGCGAACCTACTTTTGATTTACTGACATTCGCCACAGAAATCTCATGCTCAGAGTTCTGAGTTTAGGACCCAGGTGAGACAGGACGCAGGGCCTGCAAGACGGAGCTCTTCTGCCAGGCGTTCGAGTAGGAGCCGCCATCACCACTATCCTACCACCGAGGTAGTATGTCATCGGCTGCCCTACGAAAGTGGGGCAGGTATGCCCAGGCAGAAGTCATAGACAGCATAGTTGGACGCTACTGAGATAGCTGGCCACCAAAGCTGGATGGTTATTCCCATCTCGGTTGAATGATATAGCACCGTGTTATAGGATGATTTTTGGGGTTAAATATTGTATTTTATTGTATGTTTTATTGTATTTTAGATTCTGGCTTTGCCGCCTGTGAACCGCCCTGAGCCTTTGGGATAGAAATCCGACAAATAAAAATAAAATTTTAAAAATGAAATAGCTGAGCGATTAAGAGAGTCTGGCAAAGTAAGTGATGATGCAGCAGCAGCAGAACTGGAAGCAGGAGACGGCCAGTTCTACCGAGGGCCTGATCTGGCCCCCGGGCCACATGTTTGACACCCCTGCCGTAGGGTTTTCAAGGCATGAGATGAGCAGAGGTGGTTTGCCATTTTCTGCCTCTTTGTAGCAACCCTGGGACTTCCTTGGTGCTCTCCCATCCAAGTATTAACCAGGGCCGACCCTGCTTAGCTTCTGAGATCTGACGAGATCGGGAGGGTGTGAAGAGTCCCCGTTCACAGGCTTGTGAACAAACATGACGTCGTGGGAAAGGCTATAAGCCTTAAGCTAAGAAAGGCTGAAATATCTCATTTCTTCCCCAAACGCATTCGATGGCCTTAGGGAAGCCGCTGTTCTCTCAGTGCTTCAGCCTATAAAATTAGGATAATACTGGCCTGTCCCCCGAAGGTGGCTGTTTGTATTGTTGAAATGATGTGTTTGGAATGTGCTATATAAATACTAAGGAATATTATTTTCTCGTAAAGTAGGGGTGGGAGGGAAAGGAGGGAGATTAACGGTCAGGCGAGGAAACGCAGAGCTCTGGGTTCAAATCCTCAGTCTGCCTCGAAGGTCATAATTTAGTAATAATAGTAATAATAAGTAGGAAAAAAAGGCTAGACGAGTGGAAGGGGAAGAGAAATGAAATGTACGTTTTCTGTATACCGTGCGAGTTCTTCGCTTTCTCTCTTTCTCGCCAGCTGGCTCTGTGGTTAAGAGACTGAGGCAGGAACTGGGAAGGAGCCCTGAGTTCGAATTCCTTCTTCTGCCTCAAACTTTCTTGTCATCTTCCAGGTAGGGTTGCCAGCCTCCAGGTGGGACCAGGAGATCTCCCAGAATTACAACTGATCTCCAGATAGTAGAGATCAGTTCCCCTGGAGAAAATGGTTGCTTTGGAGGGCGGACTCTGTGGAATTATACTCCACTGCGGTCCCTGTCCTCTCCAGGCTCCATCCCCAAATCTCTAGGTGTTTCCCAACCCAGATCTGACAACCCTACCCCCCCATCCCCCACCGGTGGCCGGCATGAACCTGACAATTCTACAAGTAACACACGTC